ATAGTAGTTTAAATTCCTGTAGGATTTCTTAAATATCCCACAGGAAATTAAGAAATCCTGCAGGATTTTGATAATATCCCTCAGGAATTTTATTTTTCCTATAGGAACTTTATTTTTCCCATGGGAATTTTTTGTTCAAAGGTGATTATCTCACCTGACAGGTGAGATTTACCTGTAACAAAGGTAGTTATGAACTCTGTGAGTGATGGTCTACCACTTGGTATACATGATTTTTATGTGAAATGAGGATTTGGCGGGCGCCAAAATGCCACTTTTGAAGTGGCATAATTATCCGGCACAGTGTTTATTGCTGAGCATAAAAGTTAATGAAAGCCCGTATTGGCTATTTCTGCCATTTTTGTTAATATCATTCGATTCTCCTGCTCTATTACGACATTTTAATACTAAGTACTCTTGCTTTCTTTCGTGTATGGAATTTATTTCAATTTTATTTGGATTGAATATTAATAGAATGAATATTAATTTTATTTGAAATTTGTTTTCTTTTTCTAGAATCACAAAATCCCAAGAAATAGCGACTTTCAGCATAGTAAAAAAAAATACACGTTTCTTCCCTGTGTTTCCCATCTAGAATTACATCTTTGGAATTTTATTTATGCTACTTACATTGAATTTCATGCCTTTTTCGGTCAGGAATGTTAAAACCCGAACCCGATTCTCTGTTTTCCTTTTCCATAATTACAAACTGCCTTGCATCTCTCGCTCATGTTTCTCACATGCTCTTAAATAATTTATCGCCCTCCATTTCAAACATAAAACAACTCAAATCGGATATTTTCAAACATCTCTTTAATACATGTATAATGCACATATGATGCAGGTACACATGGGACATTTCACAATGTTTTCACTTACGCTTCCGTCTTGATGCGCAGATCAAATGCATGTTTCATATTATTAGGTATATCATAATTTTAATCAGACCCTATACCTTACATCTTAACTTGAAAACAATCTAATTCAAGCTCATATGTACATATAGGAGCGTGTTACAATGTTTTTAACGTGCTCTCTTAGCGTGATCAATGAATTCGTGCTTATCCCCGAGTCGACTTCAAACAATCCAGGAAGTCTGTTTAGGGTAAAATTATACCAACTGCGAGCCCGATCTAAAATCCTAGTAGAGAAATGAGAATTTTGCTGTTTTTTTTTTATTTTCTTGCTTTTTTTCCTACTTTTTTCAGCCCAAATGATATTGAAATGCTTAAAAAGGTGGAAAGGCCGATAATTGTTCACTGAACAATTTAGTTTACTAGTTTTTTTTTTATTTTTTGCATTTTGTCTATTATTTCTTTATTATATATCTGTCTTTTTTAAAATAGAAAAAAAAACATCCTGCATACAGATTAATATATGAGAACGGAAGACCTTCATTGTTGCTGTAGCAACAAGAGTTTCTAGTTATTAAGGTCTTCCGTCTTCACGGAAGTCCTTATGGCGATTCGATTGTTTGGTCTTATTATTAAGGTCTTCCGTCTTCACGGAAGACCTTATAGTGATTTTATTGTTTCTTATTATTATTCTTATTATTATTATTATTCTTTTTTTTTTGACAAAATTTTGTGCAGGCGATTTCTCGAAAACTATTCAGCGGTTTTTCATGAAACTTTCACCAAATATGTGTCATTATATGAAGTTGTTACATCCGAAGAGACATTTGGAAAATTCTCTTCTGGTGCCAAGTTATGGACAATTTTCTGATTTTAAAATGCGATTATGTCGCCCCTTTTTTTTCGAAAATGGCTAGGTATATGATATGGAGACTTATTGGAGATGATAGATCATGACTTTCTGGTATGCAGAATCACCTTTTCGTGCGTCGTCAGTACTTCCGGTCGTTACGAGATGCAAATTAAAAATAATCGTATTTTCTAACTTTTTTGTTTTTCAATATTTTTCATTAATTTTTGGTATGTTAATACAAACCCTCCTCATAATGCTTACTATATAATTTGTTTGAATGTTGATAAATCTAAACTCTAGATATTAGCATTCAAAAATCTGAAGCGGGTCCACAATGGCGGTTGTCTCAGTCAACGCCGACATTTCGCAATAGGGGTTTACGGAGGCTTTATATTTATTTTATTGGTTTTACCGCTTGTTTACATGCATATATATAAATTTTATATTTATTTTATTGATTGTTTAAATAATATAAATTATTGAGAACTTAAATTTCAATTATTACATAAACAAGTTTCCATATTTTAAGTTATTTATTAATTTAAGTCATTCATGGGTTTCCATAGGTAATGTAGTATGTTGTTCATGGTTCAGTGTTTTTATTCCTGGTTGGTTGATTTTAAGTGTCAAAGGTGAAAGTCTTAGAAGGTATAGTAATATTGGAATATTTGATTTCCATTCCTGTTTTGCACATTGATTGGGTTGATATAAGTTTTGCATTGGACTCTGCTGACATTGACAGAAAAGTAAGACATTATTTATTAATCTTTATTAACCTGTGAGAATGTTGATTGTGTGATAAATATAAAAATAGAATTCATTTAATATTTTACATTTTTGATGAAATCAATATATAATACAATAATTGGTTTCTAGGGGGTTTCCTAGCCATAGCTGTAGTCACATATATATATAAAGAACAATGGTTCTGATACCATATTTCTGGTAAGATCAATGTTTTATGTGTTAAATTTGTTTGTGGTGTTTGATTGTGTTTTCTGTGTGCGCATTGTTAAGTGATATGGAAATTTCTATAAAAATATCTATTTAAATTATAATTGCTTTTAAATATACAGAAAATGCTAAGACTTTTACATTTTTTGATAGCCAACATCATTATGTGTCATATTAAATGACGTAATGTGTGTTTATATTGAAAATCGCTTGTGTGTAAGGGCATACCTTACTTTGTGTTTACAGAAACAAGATATCAAACGACGCAGGATATTCCAAGGATTTAGGATATTACTGCACAAATGTCGGCACAGAATATAGTTAATTTCTATACAGTTTTAATTTTAACTGGTAAAAATTCACTGTCAAGGGTATGTTTTTATCAACTGAGAAAGTGTTGAAATTGTTTTAATTTGAAGAATATGTTTGATTGTTGTTTATTTTAAATTAGACAATATTGTTTTTTTTTATATGATTTAATACCTTGAATGGGAAAGATCAATGACTTCATAATATGACGTCATAATGTGCACTTGCATTAATAAACTGCGGGTACTGAGTATGTATGAGAAAATCAATTTGAACCTTCTCTGTACATAAAATATACAAATTATGAATTTTCATTAGCTTATTTGCATAAAAATATCCATATTTAGCCTTAACTCACTTTCGTGAACCAATTGTTTTGCACTGATGAGTTTGAGAAATATTGATTTATTTGTTTAATTTGATACAATATTGATTTTAAATTATAATTGGGAAAAGCTAAAATGATTCAGTTTTATTATTCTATTTAAATTCATATTTATTTCATTTCAAGCTAATTGACTATCATTTGTGTTCAATTTTGAAATTGAGTTATTTCCCTTTGATGTGTGTTTTGTGTTGTAATGTGCATGTATGTTTATTTTATGTTTGTGTGTATTTCAGAGCCTGTTGTTGTGTGTATGTGAGATAAATAAATTCATCTGTTACCACCATAGTTGTTTATTCCATTGGAAAACCGTAACAGAAATGGCGCCCACTTCGGGACTCGAGATTATGACGAAACCACCCACCGGAACTTTATGGTAGATGTCCAAATTCACTAGGAGCCTAACCGGAAGTGACTTACCGGAAGCGGCCCTGATTGACAATAACAACAACACGTGAACTGAGAAAACAAGCAAAGCTGTTTTATGTGAGTCAATTGTGATGAATATTTTTGTTCTTAGTTTATTTTAAGAGCTACAGGTATAGCTCTGTGACTTTGTTGTGTCAATTAACAACACAAGTGTTGAACTTCGGTTATATTCCTGAGTAATAAGCAGGACAATCCATTCCGAATTTGCTTTGTGTATAACAAGACATAGACTATAGTGATTCTACAAAACAGTGGTTGGAGTCAGATGGATTTGGCCGAACAGTAACAACATTAGTCTGTCTGTCTATAACTTGTGTGTATTTGATCCTTGTTTATTTACATGTAAACACATTCTGAATTGTCTTAGAAATTTTGACACCTGACTGAATGGTACATTTGTTTACAACTTGAAATACTTGTGTCATGTTTTCAAATCAAGTTTAATATCAGATGGTATTTCATTAATTGTTTTGAAACATTAATTGAATTGTAAAGACAAAGTGAAAGCAATATTTTTTTTTGGTCTGTCAGCTGCAGCATAGTATAATTTATTTTCCTTAAACAAAAGAGATACAAATTAATTTTTGTTCATACTTTAAATTCAAATTTTAAATTTTGGGTAAATTTATTGAAAGAAATTTGAGAGAATCAGAAGTGAAAGAGCAATTACTAGTTTACTAACTTGGACAGTATTAAATACCTGAAATGACATAGACATAAGTATTGAAGTTCAGAGTTTGGAGGTTTGCTTGTGCAATATTTGTTGACACTAGTTTAGTGCAGAAAGGTTAAACAGTCAAAGTTGTAACAACTGTGGTAATCTAGTTGTAGTATCTGAGTGTACTGAAGTAGACAATTCCTTATTTAGGAAGATAAATAGGTAGTTAAACAGTATTTTGGTTTTAAGTGTAAAACCAAAATAAAAGGTTACTTATAGAAGGGTTGAAAAAAAAAAGAAAAAATGGGTACCCATTAAACCGCAAACCATTAACCGTAAAAATTAACGGTGAATCATAAATCGCTTATTACCGGAGAATATTTGTGCACAACGAATGATCGGTTTTCGTGGAAATCGTGTTTCGTGCGTTTTCTTTATTTTCTTGGTCATTACCATTGTGTTGTATTTTGATAACAACAACTGTTCTGAGAATTTATTCTACATCACCATGTCAGAAGTACCTGAACAATACAAAACTTTATTAGAAACTCTAAAAAAAAAATGGGAATTGTTCCAAAGGCTGACACACCAGCAGATCTTGAAAAATGGATGATAGCTTACTTAGAAACAAAGGAAGGGAAATTTGTCAAAGCAGAAGCAAAAGAACAACAAGAACATCCACAGACTGAGAAACAGAAAAAGTACATTATCCAGCCTCCGCGATTCAGTGTGTTTACTGGTAATGATAAGAAGGGATCAGAAACAACATTTGACTTGTGGATATATGAAGTGCAATGTCTTATTCGGGACAAAACTCACTCAGATGAAGATATTGCCCAGGCAGTCCGACGTTCATTAAGAGGAGAAGCAGGAAGGGTTATTATGAACTTAGGACCAGATGCTAATTTGAACAAAATTTTAGCAAAGCTTACAAGTGTGTATGGGGATATACAGGAACGAGAAACTATCCTAGGAGAATTTTATGGAACTAAACAAGCTAAAGATGAGGATGTTTCTAGTTGGAGCTGTAGACTTGAGAATATTATGCAGAAGGCAATTAAAATTGGTGCTGTTAATTCCGCAATGGCTGATGAAATGCTCCATGATATGCTGTACAAGGGATTAAAACCTGAGTTAAAAGCCATTTGCCATTACGAGAAGGAGAGATTTAAAGGATTTGATGAATTGCGAGTTGCATTAAGGAAGCTGGAGAAAGAAAATGAAATTGATGTGGGGAGTAGGACAGCTCACGTTAAGCAAGCTGTTGTGCAGGAAAAAGATGAAGTTCAAGGAATGCTGAAGCAGATTACTCATCGGCTCAATAACTTAGAACTACAAAGCAGGGGTAGAAGCCAGTTCAGAGGTTCAGCAAACTACAGGACTAGAAACAGAGGCTGTTTTAGAGGAAGGAACTGGAGTTATCCTCGGAGATCAGAAGGTGAATATAGATCACAACAACAAGATCAGCGTGACCCAAGCAGCACAGCCAGTACATTTAGTTCTCAACAAAATCAACAATTTGCGGAAGTTGTGTGTAGGAGATGTGGAAGAGAGGGTCATATAGAGCGAGGTTGTAGAGCCCACAGAGATATTAGTGGAAAGCCACTAACTTTAAACTTCAGCAAGTCTATGAGGAGAGGTCGTCCATAGACTCGAATCCTAAAACCGACCCTAAACCATCAGCTATATTATCAAGGAAATTACCACCTGGTTTATGCGGAGAACCAACTGAAGCTACTATTCTTGTTAACGGCATAGAAACAAAGGCAATCATAGATACAGGTTCTACAATATCAACAATGAGTAAAAAGTTCTATTTGGATTATTTTCAACATGTGCCTATTGAGGACATAGGAGCCTTAATTAATATTGAATGCGCCGACGGCAAACATCTGCCATATGAGGGTTGTATTGCAGTAGATTTACAGATACAGGATATGGATAACCCGGTACCATCAATTTTGTTGATCATTCCTGACAGTCCGTATAACCTCAAAGTACCTGTTTTGTTGGGAACCAATATCCTGAATACTTTGATGGAAACTTTTCAAAGGAAACATGGAGACAGATACTTAGATAAATCCAAATTAACAACACCATGGTATTTATCATTCCGTTCCATTCTACTTAGGGAAAAAGAACTTAGAAGAAACAATTTTAGACTGGGGCTAGTAAGAAGTGCTGAAAAGAACACTATTCGCATACAGCCAAACTCAAGAGTAATTGTCAGAGGATATATAGATAAAGCCTTACCCTACCAACAAACGTTAGCGATGTTACAACCTACCATCAAGTCAAGAATAGATAACGATATAGACATAGAACCATCCTTGATTGAATACAGGAGTGCTGTGTTAGATCCAGTAGATGTCTATATGAGTAACATTACTACAAGAACGGTTACTATACAACCTAAGGAAATTCTGTGTGAAATACAGCCTGTCACAGAAACAGATCTTGAGCCACCAGTGACTAAAACAGAAGGAGACTTGGAACAAGATGTTTTGAACCTGATCACAATGGACGAGGAAAACCTATCACCTAATGAGATTGAAAAAGGCAAACAGCTGATTGAGAGCTATAGAGATATATTTTCGAGAAGTGATACAGATGTTGGACAAGCAAGGAATGTGTATCACAAGATTGAGTTAGAGGATGAAAAGAACTTCAAGCAAAGATACAGACGAATTCCTCCAGCAATGATAAATGAAGTACGAGAACATCTGAAGCTGCTGTTGAGATCTGGAATCATAAGAAAATCCCATTCCCCATGGTCATCAAATGTAGTACTAGTAAAGAAGAAAGACAACTCCTTACGGCTGTGCATTGATTTTAGACAACTAAACAAAAAGACCAAGAAGGATGCATATGCCCTACCCCGGATTGAGGAAATGCTGGATTGTTTAGCGGGGAACAAATATTTTTCGGTCCTAGATTTAAAATCCGGATACCATCAGGTGGAAATTTTTGAACCACATAAGGAGAGAACTGCCTTCACGGTAGGACCTTTAGGTCTGTATGAATTCAATCGAATGCCTTTTGGATTGACGGGAGCACCCGCAACTTATCAACGTTTAATGCAAGAAACTTTAGGAGATCTACATTTGAAAATTTGCTGTATTTTCATTGACGATATCATTGTATTTTCCTCTACATTTCAACAACATTTGGAACGACTAAAATTAGTTTTCGACCGTATCCGTGCAGCCAATCTCAAATTATCACCCAAGAAATGTTCTTTATTCAAAAGAAAAGTGAAGTATGTGGGACATGTTGTTTCCAGCGAGGGAGTAGAGACGGATCCAGACAAGATATCAAAGGTAGTTGACTGGCCTACACCTACAAATCCTGAAGAGATAAGGAAATTTATAGGCTTTGCAGGATATTTTAGAAGATTTATTCAGAATTTTAGCCAGATTTCTAAACCATTGACAGAGTTATTTCCTAGTACATCCAAAAAGAAGAAAAAGAAAATTGTAAAAGAATGGGAATGGGGTGAGAAACAGCAGAGAGCTTTTGACTTATTGAAAGAGAAATTATCAACTGCACCAGTTTTGAGTTACCCAGATTTTAGTAAGCCTTTCGAATTACATACCGATGCCAGTGGTCAAGGTCTTGGAGCAGTGCTTTATCAGGAACATGACGGTTTAAAGAAAGTTATAGCATTTGCAAGCCGAGGATTATCGAGATCAGAGCAAAACTATCCTGCTCATAAGCTAGAGTTTTTGGCTCTGAAATGGGCGGTAGTAGACAAATTTCACGACTATTTGTATGGGAATTCTTTCACGGTTCTTACGGACAATAATCCCCTAACCTATGTGTTGTCAACTGCAACTTTAGATGCAACAGGACACAGGTGGTTAGCCGCTCTAGGAACCTACGAGTTTGACATAAAGTACAGACCAGGAATCAATAATCAGGACGCTGATGCTTTATCCAGAATTCCAATGTCCAAAGAAGCTGTAAGGTCTGTATGTAAGAAGATGGACATTGCGTACATAGAAAGTTTAGGTATACCAGAGGCATTAGATTTAATCCAGACTGATTTGCGGATGAATGTTTCAAAGGATATTGACTGGAAGAAACTTCAACATCAAGATGAAGGAATAAGACCATGGATAGAGAGAGTTCAATCAGGAGAAAAGCCCAAGAGAGGACAATTTCCAAACAGTCCATTATTTAGAATGTTTGACAAGCTATGTGTAGAAGATGGAATTTTGTACAGAAAAGTCAACATGCAAGATCAGAATTTTAAACAGCTTATTCTACCAGCAGTGCAAATACCAACAGTACTGAAGTTACTTCATGATGAAATGGGTCATCCGGGTAGAGAACGAACAACATCCTTGATAAAAGAAAGATTTTATTGGCCTGGTATATCTACAGACATAGAGAACTGGGTAAGTAATTGCGACAGATGTATCAAGAGGAAGTCACAACCTGACAGAGCACCTTTGGTAAGTATTACTACCACGCAACCCTTAGAGCTGATATGTATTGATTTTTTGTCACTTGAGCAGTCCAAGGGAGGACAACAGAATATTTTGGTAGTTACGGACCATTTTACGCGTTATGCCCAGGCTTATCCTACCAGAAATCAGACAGCCAGAACGACAGCGGAAATTTTGTTTAATCAGTTCATTACTCATTATGGTATTCCAAAACGTATTCATTCGGACCAGGGGGCTAATTTTGAAAGCAATTTAATTAAGGAACTTTGCAGGTTAATTGGAACTCAGAAATCAAGAACAACTCCGTATCACCCAATGGGGAATGGAATGACAGAAAGATTTAATAGAACGCTCATCAACATGTTAGGAACTTTGGACCCAAAACAGAAAACAAATTGGAAATCCTATGTCTCAGCTTTAGTTCATTCCTATAATTGTACAAGACACGAGTCAACTGGTCAGTCGCCATACTTTCTTATGTTTGGTAGGCAGCCAAATTTACCCATCGACATAGCTTTTGGTCTCGTCAGAGAAGACATTAGGAAGCCACAAACCAAGTATGTCCAGGAGCTAAGAAAAAGACTGATGCAAGCATACGATTTAGCTTTTAGAGAAGCAGAGAAGTCTAGAGCTAAGCAGAAAGATCATTACAACAGAAATGCCAGAGGTACAGTGCTGGAAGTGGGAGATAAAGTATTGGTTAGAATGGTACACTTCGAAGGTAAGCATAAGTTAGCAGATAAATGGGAAGATACACCTTATATCATTCTATCACAGCCCAATCCCAGAATTCCAGTATATACCGTAAAGAAAGAAAATGGAGAAGGAAAGAAGAGGACCCTACACAGAAATTTGCTTTATCCAATAGGTTTTATTTCTGATAGGCCCACTCCATTACCCAGAAAGAGGAAAACTCCAACTAAGCGTAAGATTACTCAACATTCAGAGCAGTTAGACAAAGACGATGACGCACAGAGTGTTAGTACTGAGCATGAGATTTTGGTGTCTGATTCAGATAGCAATGTTCAACATAATATTGCAGATACTGAACATCATGAGCCAATGATACATGGAAGCGCTTCCGAGGAATCAGAGAATTCTGATGTGAATTCTGATGTAGAGTCATCTGAAATTTCAGGAGAAACTGAGAATGAAGATGAACAAGGTGATGATGAACAAGATGATGATGTTACTGATGATGATGATAATGGAGCTACTGCTTTGGATGATGCGACAAATGACTTGTCATCACAACCTAGAAGGTCATCAAGGTTTAAGCAGAAACCAAAATGGTTGACGTCAGGTGAGTTTATAACAAAGTCGAGCACGACAAAGCAACACGCCTGGCAGGACAAAGCTGATTTTATCCTTACTTTTATCAAATCTACACAGAATGCCACAATTTCTAAGGACACAACAGATTTTGTGGTGAAACATATTTTAAATTCTTGAATTGATCTTGAATTATTGCATTTTGACAGATGAACTTATGAGATTTAACTGTACTTTGATTTGCAGGGTGCAGGATAATGTTGCAAATTAATCTAAATCTTTTATGATTGTTTGCAGATTCTATTTTGATGTAGTTGATATGAATGGAATCATTTCATGATTCATTTGCATTATTCACATGATTTATGAAAGCATTTCAGATCCAGTACAATTTTGCCGAACAGCAGAATATGGTATGATTGATGATTTCCGGTATTGGTTTGTAAATAAAGTTGTGTTGTTTGTTCAACAGCACTGATGTTGTTATTTTCTTGTTATTTTCATTTCGTACTCTTACTTGTTAAATGACGTGGAAGTCATTTTTCGAACAAGGGGGAGTTTGTGATAGTATAGATTTATATTTATTTTATTGGTATTGTTTAAATAAAATAAATTATTGAGAACTTAATTTTCAATTATTACATAAACAAGTTTCCATATTTTAAGTTATTTATTAATTTAAGTCATTCATGGGTTTCCATAGGTAGTGTAGTATGTTGTTCATGGTTCATTGGTTTTTATTCCTGGTTGGTTGATTTTAAGTGTCAAAGGTGAAAGTCTTAGAGGGTATAGTAATATTGGGATACTTGATTTCCATTCCTGTTTTGTACATTGATTGGGTTGATATAAGTTTTGCATTGGACTCTACTGACATTGACAGAAAAGTAAGACATTATTTATTAATCTTTATTAACCTGTGAGAATGTT